GCGCAGAAGAACCACATTCGCCACATTCTTTCCCTGCGCTGCCCGCTGCGCGTTGATTGGATGAGTTTTCAATTCTGCCCGGATGGCGTCACTCAGAGCGTTCACCACACGAGCCGTCAGATCTGCCTCCGGGCTGCTGTCCAATGGCGTCGCGACACCTAGCGCCCGCCCGTCCTTCAGAGGGTCGGTACCACCGATCCTGTCCGACAGGCCTGGGCCCCGAACCACCACGCCGCACCTGTGCTCTGTGGCATATCTGGGGTGGGTGAGAAGGGGAGAGAGTGAGTTGGGGGGTTGGGATAATGGGGGGGGGGGGGGGTGGAGGGGAAAGAAAATTCGAAGAAAACAAAACTGAAAAGAAATAAAATTTAACCCCAAAAAAATGTGATACATCTGATATATTCAGTAACATGGTAGGAAACTAGGAAACAAAGCGTTGGCCGTGCATACTTGATGCTGACTTGGTAGTCCGGGAATCCAGGAATCTTCAGGCCATCCAGGTGGCGGCACAGGATTGGCCCCTCCTCCTCAAAGTGCCGATCCGCCCGGCGCTTCACCACGATCCCCGTTGCCTCGTCCAACACTGCAAAGTTGCTCTGTGGGGGTGAGGGGGGAGAGGGGGAGGTGGGGGGGAGGGGGGAAGAGGGTCGGGAGAGGGGCGGAGGGTTGGTAAGGGGCCAGAGCTGGAGAGTAAGATCGGAATGATGCGTCCTGCGTCCTGCCCCCTACGCCCTGCGCCCTGCGCCCTGCGCTTCACCATGATCCCTTTGCCTCGTCCAACACTACCACATTGCTCTGCAGTGGAGAGAAGCGTAGAGAAGGGAAGAGGCGGGGAGAGGTAGAGAGATGGGAGGGCTTAAAACTCGCCCTGCTGCTCACCACCCGCCCACCCACCCACTCAGCGATTTCCCCAGTATAGCATACTCACTTAAAGCATATTAATCACCTTGAATGCGGTGTCCCCTGGCTGCATAAGAATCCCGGCTCCCCGTGGCCCTGTTGGGAGCAAATTCGCATACTCGTTTGTACCGTACACCCATACTCGCTTGCAGTATACCACTCACACACCCACCTTGAAAGCGATATCCCCAGGCTGCATGGGAATCCCGCCGCCCATGGACTCATTTGAAGCATACTCGCTACTAGCAAACTCAGCTTGAATGCCATGTCCCCAGGCTGCATAGGAATCCCGCCAACCATGGACTGAAACCCAACTCACCATGCATATTGTGCATCCCTCCTTGACTCCTCATGTGCACAACCCACCCACCCACCCACCCACCCACCCACCTTGAATGCAATGTCCCCAGGCTGCATGGGGATCCCGGCGCCCATGGACTCAAACGCCCCTCGCCCCCGGTAGTGCTGGCGGGGGTTGTAACCCAGCAGTGAGAGATGCGCCGTGTCACTGCAAAGAGTGGGGGCGGGCCGCGGGGGGAAGGGAAGTCAGGTGGGGGAAGTAGGGTGTTGTGAAGGATGCTACATTGACCTCCCCCCCCTGTAGTGCTGGCGGGGGTTGTAGCAGTGAGAGATGCGCCATGTAGAGAAATGCGCTGTGTCGCTGCAAAGAGGGGTGCAAAGAGGGGCACACGGGGGAAGAACGTGGAAAGTGATTCACTCTAACCGTTGATTTCCGCCGCTCCAGGCGGCACATACGCCACTCCAGGCGGCACATACGCCACTCCAGGCGGCACATACGCCACTCCAGGCGGCACATACGCCACATCAGGGCCCAGGCCAGGGGAACCGTCAGCAAGTCAGATCCCTACCTGAGGCACGCGAGCCTGGGTTCCACAGGGTGACTGTGTTTTTTTTTTTTTTTGAGAGAGAAAAAAGCACATTTAGCCGGAACCGTCAGCAAGTCAGATTCCTACCTGAGGCACGCGAGCCCGGGTTCCACGGGGTCCATCAGACCGTCGAATCGCGCCGCCGCGATCGCGTCAAGATTCGGCGAGGGGAAGGGCGGAAGGGCGGAGAGGGAGATGGGCGCGGGAGCGCGAGGGTAGAGGGGGCTGTGAGGGGGGGGAGAGAGGGAGGGATTCTCTGCCTAGCAGGGCCCCCGTCGTCGCCTATTGTGGCGCCTCAGGAGAGCGCGGGATGATAAACGGTGCTTCGTAACTGCCGCACGCCATTCCGGGTTCCACGGAAACCCTTTGACTGTCAAATTCGCACCTGCCGCATGCGAGCCCGGGTTCCACGGGGTCCATCAGACCGTTGACTCCCGCCGCCGCGATCGCATCCAGATTCGGCGTATGTGCCGCCTCGAGCGGCGTCAGGCCGCCCAGCAACGGCACTGCCACGTCGCCGATTCCGTCGATCAATACGAACGCGACGCGGGTGGTGACGTTCGGCGGGACTGAGGAATAAGTAGCATTCGGCGAGCAATTCGAGGCTGGTGGGTTGCCGCCAGCCATGTCGGATTGCGGAATCGCCTCCTCTGAAACCATGGGGACGACGGTTGCGGGGTAAAACGGCTGGGAAGGAATAGATGAGCAGACTCGGAGATTGGATTGATATGTGAGTCGTAGCGCAAGGGTTGCACGATGGAGCAGACTTAGATGCTCCTCCTGTTTCGGCCGACCTGAGCGCCTCGCCACGTGACAAGATTCTCGCAACGCGCCTGAGCCTTTCAACGAGCCGCACACGGAAATTCTTAGTGCGGCAAGATACAATGGGATATGCTGGGGTGACCCTGAAGTGGTGCTGACAACATTTGATTCCACATTAGCCATTCTTGTTTATAGCATAAACAAGCGCTCGTAATTTGTGTACAGTAATTCGATTTCTGGCATCTTGGCATTCATACAATTTGGAAGCAGATGTAAAGCGACAGTACTATTGTAACGAGAATTATGTGACTCTGACGGCTTGCCATGCCATACCATCTGACTGGCTGGTGGTGAGCACAGCCCATGACCAGTCACCAGCAGCCTCGCCCAGACGGTACCTTCCTCCTCTGAGCTTGCCGTGGCGCGCAGCGACAAGAACCATCCAAACCAGGCCTAGAAATCTTTCCAGAGAAACTCGGCAAGGCGTGCTCGAAAGAAAGTATGGGACATTTCCGGGACTGGAAATTCCACATTCGAATCTCATGTTCAATGACACCTCATTCGTAAACACAAGCAAATCCAAGAATTTTAATTGAAATAAGCAATTTCAGGACGTCTAAGAACCGATGATCGATCAGAACCTCGGTTTGAAGGCAAAGCCAAGGAGACTTCGACCCCACCAAACCTGACCAAGGAACCGGGCCTAACCGACTTTGACTGGCTTCGAACCAATCACAGACAGAAGACTGGGTGTGACGACGGAACCCCCGAGCTTTGATCTGACGACGCGAATCACCAAGTTTCCCGCTCTCCCGTCGTTTGTCCTTCCCTGCCGACGGCTCACTCTTTTCCGTCATCTACAGAAAGCTCCGTCCGTCCGTGCCTCGTAGTCATTGGAGCTTCAAGGCGTCCATCTTACTACGATTCAGTAAGGTCCTCAGCGTTTTAGAGCTCTATCTCATCAGTCGTACAGTAGTATGTCTGCCTGGTGGTCTGTGCACCGCACGTGTATTTACCATCCATACCATAACCACCCATGTCCTGAGGGCGCGTCTCCTTTTTGCTTTTTTGCAATTTTCCGGACGGTTCTCCTTTTTGGTACCGGACGGTCCTAATAGCGAGGACCGGACTGTCCGAATTGCCATATCGGAACTTTGCCCCGTCCGGATGCAATGCTGTCACTTTTTTTTCAGTGTTTTGAATTTCCCGAAGTACTGTAGCCTCGTTAGGGCACTGTAGCGTCGTTACACAAGTTACGACCTATTTTCTACAGACTTCGTGCGCCAATCTGATTTCATATTTGAAGTAAAATTTCGCGCGCCAATCTCTAGTCAGTACTGTTGCACCGTCCGTTTGGTTTCCGAACTGTCAAGGGTTCAGATTCTGAACCGTTGAAAGGAGGGAAAAGTGACGCCACGGTTCGGATGGTTGGCGACGTCGCACATATTTTCACGAACTTAATTACGAAACAAGGCGATACTGGTAACCCTTTGTCGGCTCGAACCGTCGACGGTTCGAACCGTCGGGGGAAAAATGGAGACGCGCCCTAAACCACTTTCCCAACCAAAACTTCCGTCCCATACCTACCATCAGCTTGGGTCTCAGCGGTAATTCTTCCAAACCTGAAACCATACCTGAATTGAACAAACTGTACAGTACAGTACCTAATTAGGTCCCCCTTACCTCCCAACCCAAGGGCTCCTTGGTCTTTGTCACACGCACAAATTACTTCTTACGTCTATCCTCTGGTTCCTGGTCTCGTCTCACATCTCCCAGTCTTGTAAAGCGTGACTCGGAATACTATAATTAGGGTACGGGGATGAAGGTACAATTCGTAGAGCATATCCCGGACAGGCAGCTGCGAACTGCAAGCTTTTTGTGATTAACGACGTTGCGAGCAATCGAAATGTTAAATAATTGGCTCGCGAGATTGTTATGTCACAGGCTTAGACCCTGATCGAGTTCCTGAATTTCATCACTTCGATGCATTTCCATTTCAGTAGCGAATCCCTGCATTCAATAAAAAGGGACTCGAGACGAGACGGTACCAAGGGATCGGAAGGTCGGTCAGGCTCTCGCAATGTTCACAATAGTCACAGAGATCCGGAGACCACAAGGCCGTGATACCACTGCACACGTGAACATCTGAGACCCTGCAGCGTTAGACATCCCAGCCCTGCCATGATCACGAGACGAGTGGCTTCTGATCAGAACGCGAAGTGGCTCGCCAATGAGCGAGAGACGAGTAGCACATGATCACGAAAACAGCGGCATATGGTAGCAGCTCATGGTGAGAGCAGCAGCCAATGTAAGAGCAGCAGAGCAACAGAGCAGCAGCCCATGGTAGCAATCCATGGTAAGAGCAACAGCAGCTGATGGTGACCGTCAAGCACAAGGAGGCGGTTCACCGCGTGACGTCAGACCATTCGCCCGGCCTTCACCAAACCTCCCATGCCCACCATTCCTCCCTTTCCCACCACCCCCCCCCCTCCGCATCCACAGCACTCCGCTCCTATCAACCACCACTCACCGCCTTACCAGACCTCCCCCCTGCACCATACGCCGCGGACGACGCTCGCGCATTCCGGTGAAGCCGACGCCAGCCCGCTTTCCGCGCATTCCCTTTCCGCGCAACCTCTTTCCCCGCGCCATCGCCGCCGCGCGCATTCCTCCGCGCACGCGGGCCCGGACCTGCTCCTGTCCACCGGGCGGCTGTTGCTGCTGCTGGCGATCGTAATCGCCTTCGTGTTCCTTTATTCCGAGCTCGAGTCGCGGATAGATCTCGATGACGATCCGCTGGGAGAGGAGAAGAGCTTCAGACGGGAAAACGGAAACGGAAACGGTAACGGTAACGGAGGAGGAAACGGAAACGGTGGTGGAGGGTTGGGAAGGTGGGGGTTGGCGGAAGGGTCGGAGGAGCCATGGCAGCATAGAGGGCTGGCGGATTACGGGAATCAGAGCGTATCGGATCTTTTAAGCGCCGTGATGATGGAGGGGAGTAACGGGAGTCTCGATAACGGGAATGGTGACAATAACGGGACTGACGAGGACGGGGATGGGGCTGCATCTCAGGCTCGGGTCACTGATCGGTGGTCCGTAGGGTCTGATAAGCAGCCTGATAAGCTGACTGAGGGTTCTGATAATGGGTCCAGGACAAGGCTATCAGAGGTTGGCCCGAATTTAGAGGAGCGTCGGCAGTTGCTTCTACTGGAGCGTGACCATAAAGGGGTTTTGGCCGTATCCCACCATAAGCACTCGGGGTTGGGCGGGCATGGGGCGAAAGGACACGGAAGGTCGCTAGAAGATTCGGGGTCCGGCGATGCTGACGTCAGCGGTAGGGGCAGCAGCAGCGGGAGAAGCGGGAACGGAAGGAGGGGGGACGAGGATGAGGAGGAGGTGTTTGATATGTACGAGGCTTCGTTAGACGAACAGGTTGCGCAAGATATCACTATAGTCATCTCCGCTAAGCACACCTTCAGCTCCGCGCCCGCGCAGCTGGACGCGGTGCTCCGCAACACCCCCCCCTCCCCCGTCGTGTACCTGCTCTCCGCGGACATGCCCGCGCGCGTGCGCGCGCACGTGCTGCGGCGGAAGCGCGAGGCGGACGCGGGGATGTGGCGCGGGAACGCGGTGCTGCGCGGATCGCCCGCCGCGGACGGGTCCGTGCAGTACCAGCAGCAGCAGGAGCGGCGCATGGTGATTAAAGACGTAGGGCGTCACGCGAGCGGATTCGCGATGCGAAACGCGTCAGTGGAGCTAATTAAGACTAAGTACGCATTATTCATATTCTCAGACGTGTTTCCCCTAGGTCACCGGTGGCTGCAGAAGCTGTATATGTTTGCCGAGGCTAGGGGGGGAGAGGGGGTGATCTTCTTGCCGTTCCTGTGGGAGCAGTCCGGCGGAGGCTCGGCACCGAGCTTCAAGGGAATGATGTCCATGGATGGTATGGTGGAGGGCGGAAGGGGAAGCGGAGGGGGAAGCGGAGGGGGAAGTGGAGCGGGAGGCGATGGGGACGAGAGTGGCATCAGCAGCAGTGGCGGCGGCAGCGGTGACAGCGGTGGCAGGGAGTTAGGGCACGCGAGGAAGACGCACACGGGCAGCAGGTGCAAGGCGGAGGGGGAGAGCATGCGCCTGCACGCCGCGTTCGGCGCGGATATGATCCTGGACGACTTCAGCAACGACGGGAAGCTGTACCCTCAGCCCATAGAAGACCCGCAGGTCGCCGCCACGCTAGACCCCACTCTTCTCGACCCAAGGGAATCAGCCGTGGGGATAGAGGATCACTGCTTGCTCGTCCGGCACTCGTTTCTGTTAGAAGCACAGGTGTTTGACCCTCAGGTGGGGTATACTCGGCAGGATTTGGATATAGCGCTGACGACAAGGTATTTTAACTACAAGGCGTTTCTGGTGCCACAGTCGGTGGTGGTATACCACCAGCCGTCCACGAGTATACGCACCAGTGACCTCGTGTATTTCGTGAGCCAGAGCGGGGATGACGTGTGCACGGCGAACCAGGTGTTTCTGCGGCACAAGTGGGGGGTGATTGTGGGGCAGCGGTGCAGGGGGTTTGTGGATGCGGCGCTCAGGGGGCTCATGTGGGTGGCGGAGGGGGACGCGGGGACTGACATGCGCGCGCAGGTGCAGGCGGAGGGGGGTGCGGGGGGGGATGTGGGCGCGCAGGGGGAGGGGGAGAGCGCAGGGGGGACCGGCGTTGCTGGTGTTGGTGCTGGCCGTAGTAAAACCAGTGATAACAGCAGCAGCAGCAGTGACAATAACGGTAACAGTAGCAGTAACAGTGACGGTAACAGTTATGGCACTGCAGACTCTCCTGACACCCCCACCCCCACCCCTTTCCCCTCCCCTAAAGACACCCGCCGCTTCTTCCTCCCAGCCTCCCAGAGCGAACAAGCCCGCCTCATCCTCGCGCTCTTCTCTCTAACCGGTTTCAACCGCTTTCAAATGCGTCATCTACCCTTCTGGGGCTCCCTCCCGCCCGCCCCGTCAGTGCCCTGCCTTGTCCGCGATAAGACGGTCTGTGATTCGTCCATTCCCTGGATGGCTGCTGCTAGCGGGTTTGTACCCTTTGTAGAGCAACTCGGTTCTCTGCATGAGTTCTTGGAGGAGTACGGGAGATTGGTGAGGGGAAGGGGAGGGTCGGGCGGGGGAGGGGGGCGGGCGGATGTGGAGGAGTGGGAGCGGGAGAATACGAAGAGGAAGGAGACAGTGAAGGTGAAGGGGAAAGGGAAGGGGAAGGGGAAGGGAAAGGGGAAGGGGAAGGAGGAAGCGAAGAAGAAGGGCGGAAGTGGGAAGGGTGGTGGGGGGAGGAAGCTGCTGAAGGAGAGAGGGAGTGGCAGACGACGGCTGCTGGCGAGTGAGAGAGCAGCAGGGGCAAGGGCAGGGAGAGGGGCAGGGGCATGGAAAGGGGCAGGGGCTTGGAAAGGGGCAGAGGCAGGGAAGGGGCGAGCAGGGACAGGGGCAGGGGCAGGGAAGGGGCGAGCAGGGACAGGGGCAGGGTCTGAGAAACAGCCTTCCTCTTTCCTGACGCTAGCAAGAGGTGACAGAGATAGAGACAGGGACAGGTACAGGGACAGAGATAGAGACAGAGACAGGGACAGGAGCAGGGAAAGAGAAAGAGACACTGCTTTGCAGCAGCGACCGAGCAACAAGAGCGCCCGGTTACCAGCAGGTAACACGAGCGTTCAGTTGCCAGCAGGTAACACGAGCAGCCAGTTACAAGCAAGCAGCAGGCGTCGCCTGCTAGCCAGCAGCAGCAACCCGCCCCCCGCAGTCACAGGCGACCCGCAGTTGTGGATGGGACGAGTAGAAGAATTCCCCCCTCTCCGCGTGAACCGAGTGGAGGACCTATGGCGGTCATCCTCCCTGCGGGACGGGCAGCTGTTCACAGTGCGGCGCAGCCTGGTGAAGAAGAACGAGAAGCACCCGGGGCGGAGGGCGCCGGACCTGCCCGTGCTGACGCGCATGTACGTGCCGTTCGTGTTCGTAGAGGCCGAGATGGAGGTGCCGATTATTCCTGCTGGCCGGAAGAGTAATAGTAGTAGTAGCAGCGCTGCTAGCGGTGGCAGTGGTGGTGGTGAGAGCACGGGTGCTGGGGATGGGGCTGATGGGATGGGTGTGGAGGGGGTGGCAGAGGGGGACAGGGTGGGAGGGGAGAGCAGCGCCAAGGGCATTGCGCACTCGTGCATGTTCAACGGCATGTCGGTAGTCATCGAGGAGAAGTGCTTCTTTCCTAAACAAGGACCCACTGCAAGCAGTAGAGGCACTCTCCTCGGGCCCCCAGGCTCGCACGTCGGCCCGGCGCGCCCGTGCCTGCGCTCGGCGCGGTACTTCCGAGCCTGGATGTACGTTCGGCACGTGGAGATGGACCGAACGCCGCTCTTCATGTTCGATCGCTTCCGCCGCACCCTCCGCCGCTCCCTCTCCGCCCGGAAAGGCGGCGGGTGGATCGACGCGAAGCACATGGTGTGGCTGTCGAGGTGCCTACGGCCGGTGGTGAGGAGGGTGAGGATTGTGCGGTGTGTGGCGGGGACGGGGGAGGCGTGCGCTGTGGCGTGGCAGGTGGGGGCGGTGCCGGACGCGTGGCGGCTGGTGCTGTGGGCGTGGCGGCCGCAGAGCGTACGGACGGCGCAGGTGGCGTTGATGGCGCGGGACACTCAACCTGTCGGTGAGTGCGTGTGAGGAATGGTGGGCATGGTGGAGAATGTGTGGTGCCTGTAGACTGTTTGGCAAGAATGTGTGGTGCAGGTGGCTCTGATGGCAAGAGACACGCCCCCTGTTGGTGAGTGGGTGTGAGGACTGGTGATTAGTGTGGGAGTTGTGTGGTGCCTGCAGAGTGTGCGGATGGCTCAGTTGGCTCTCATGGCTCTGGACACGCCACTGTGGGTGTGGGGCGCGCAGAGTGTGCGGACGGTGGAGTGTGATCAATGAAAGTGGAGGTGAGTGGGGAGCAAGTGAGAGGTGGTTGGTGTGATGGGATGTCATGGTGAGGAATATTTGGCACCCGCAGAGTGTGCGGACGGGGCAGGTGGTTCTCATAGTGCGGGACACGCCCCCTATTGGTGAGTGTGTGTGAGGTGAGGGTTTGTTGCATGGAGAATATGATTGGGGGTGAGTGCGATCATGGTGGGGAAGCTGTGTGGCGCACAGGGTGTTCGGATGGGGCAGTTGGCTTTCATGGTGCGGAGCATGCTCCCTGTTGGTGAATGGGTAGGAGTGTTTGGAGGTTGGAAGTGGATGTGATTGGAGGATGGGGAGGAAAGTGCAGTGACAGTAGTTTTAGCTAGTTAGAGGAGGTTATTTGGCCCTTGTCTCTTACCTTCCTCCCCTCTTCTCTCTCTTTTCCTTCTGTCCATCCCTCTCACTCACATACACACTCATGTTCCTTTCTCCTATGGGATCTTTCTTTGCAGATGACATGGCAGCAAAACCTCAATGGTACTGGTGAAGTTGGGTTGGTGGACAAGCAAATAGTGCCCAGGCTCACACAATTTTAAGGCACATTGCCACCATTCACTATCTTCTGGAAGGTCAAGCAGGCTAGGGTTCTTTGGATGGATGTATGAAATGGTGAAGCTAGCCTTTTGTTATGTTTTGGCATCACTCTCAGTGTAAGTATGATAAAATGAGTAACATACACGTACACTCGTTATGACATTCTCTCGCTTCCTCGTCGTCACATCAGGTGAAGAAACTGCCGTACACGTGGGGAGACGAGAGGAGGCATCCCATCCGTTGGATATTTTCAGGCAGTAAAACTGTTAGCGTGAAACACGGCCGCAGCCGTACAGCTTTCGCGCCACATCTGGGCCTTTTTTAGGCCCATGACGATTTTTCCTGGCGTTTCCCGATCTGCCCTGAACTTGTGTCAATTTTCAGCAGTGTCAGTTGAGGCAACTTTTAAATGTTGGAAGGGGAGGAAACGTCGCTCCCACACACCACAACCTTCACACCTAGTGACTACGGCTTGGAATTGGTGCAAACAACAGCAAAATCTGCCCGGAACTAATCAATCTTCAGAATCAGCAAAACCAATTCCGTCACTTGCGTCGCTTGCGGCTCTGCCTCTCCAATCCTTCAGGTGAGAGCAGCTGGAAAGAAATTATGCGGAGAGTGTGAAGCTCACCTGTCATACTTTCGTCCTCCACATGCCCCAGCGGCCTAGACTGCTATTCAGGCTCTTAGGTTGACATTCCCTACCTGCTTTCTGCACCAGCTTCGCTTCATTAACATTCGAGGTCCGCTTTGATACGTCGGTGAAGCAGCGCTTTCAAGATCTTTAAACCAAAGCAGGTATGTTTGCACATTATTAAGCTTCTATATGGGGAAACAAAGTACAGTGAGCAACAATACAGGTTCAGAGTATTTCCAGTGAGCCAAAAGTATTTGATGCGGACAAGCTATTTCCAGCCTCAGTCCGCTATTCTGCAATTTCTTTTTTTTCTCTTTGAACGTTTCTTAATTTCTATGTCTTCTCTTATTTCAGGAGCTTCACAGCAATCTTCATCCTTCGTGGCATTTCTGAGGCGCCTGAAAGAGAAAGAGACAAAAAACACATTAGGAGCTCCAGAAGAATCTTCTCAGAAGCGTTTCGCGTGGATCCAGGCCCTAATATTGCATAAGGCGTCCAGCATTACCGGCATTGCTCGTGATTACACGCTCCTGACACTCCGGCATTCCTGGGTTCCAGGCTCCAGTTCTAAATCAAGTGGTCACCAGCATTCGCGGGATATTTCCGGTAATCCAGGCCCTTGAGAAATTTCCTGTGGGTCGGCATTCGCTAAAATCTATCAGGCGTCTGACGAAGCGTGTTGCGGGAGCATCGCGGTTCAGTCGAAGCTCCTCCGTTCTTCCGTCTCGTAACGCATTTCTTGCGGGCCACGTCAGCATGGAGCCCGTTCCGCCGCAGCTGAACGTGTCGTCCCCGAGGCCGTTCGATCAATCTGAAGAGGGCCAATCCAACGGATGGGGTTGGCTCGCGTCGCCGTCTGTCGCCGCGTCTAACCTCCTTACCCTGCACTCTCCAGGTACAACGTTTCTTGCGACACCCACCCCGCATTACGCACTTCCTCGCAACGCTCCTTCGGGTTACGCACTTCAGCGATCCTTTCTTAGTCGCACTAAAACGAATCTTCTCTCCCTAGACAAGTACAATCCTCGCTTCCTGATACGTTTCTCTTGAGCCGTTCCCGTGCTGCATTTCGCAACGCTTTCGCTCCTACTCTCCTTCGCTCTTTCGGATGTACTTTACGTGCGATTAACCAATTCCAATAAAGCAAACCCCTTGCAATTCATCGAACACTCCGCAGCAGGCAATAAATGTTTTCGTTCACTCTCTTTTCCCCTCCCTCTTCCCCACTCTCTCCATTCCACCCCGTTCCTCTTCCTTCAGCCGCCCAGCACCCGTCGCCGTTTCGCTACAACCGCCTCCCTCCCGACGGCTCTGTCCTCCCATCACCCTCCGACTCCGAATCCAGCCCCACCTCCTCCCCTTCCGCCTCCGCCCCCGCCTTCCGCGCATCCCGCTTCAACGCCCCCCCTGCCTCCTCCGCATCCCATTCCTCCCCGCTTTCCGCCGACTCCCTCTCCCCTTCCTCCCCCTCACCCTCCTCCCCTCCCCCCTCCTCCCCCTCCTCCTCATCAACCACCATCGCCGATCTTCCAGACGACTGTCTCGCGCTCGTGTTCACGCACCTCACCTCGCCTCGGGATTGGCTCGCAGCGGCGTGCGCGTGTCACCGCTGGCGCTACGCAGCCAATGACGGCATCCGCACGCTCTCGCTCTCAGAATCCGCCATTCACAGCCTGCCAGGTGGCCTAGCCTGCGGCCTCCACAGATTTCGCCAGCTGGCGTCTCTCGAGGTCCCCGCGCCCTGCCTCTCCCCCGGGATCGCCTCCACGCTTGCCACGTGTCCGCATCTGACGGCTCTGCATCTCGTGCCGCTACGGCGCGTTCTCGCGCACAAGTTCACCCGGCACGATGTTTTTCCGCTGCCCGAGGAGCTCGGGCAGGTCACGCAGCTGCAGTACCTGAGGGTTATGAGCGAGATGGTGGCTGAAATTCCGGATTCCGTTTGCCGCATGCCCGTCCTCCGTACGCTGCATCTGGACTCGTGCCTGAAGCTGAAAGCGCTGCCCGCGGGAATCGGGCAGCTTGCTGATTTGGAGGAGCTGAAGATCACCGAGTGCCGGGCTATTTCGGAGCTGCCCGAGTCTCTGGGCAGCCTGCCGCGGCTCCGGACGCTGGTCCTCAACCAGTGCACAAGCCTTGCGAAGCTGCCCGAATCCCTCTCCTCCCTGGCTTCGTTGGAAACTTTTGAGGTCGCTGCATGCAACAAGCTGAACCAGCTGCCCAAAGGGTTTTCCCAGCTGCCCAACCTCCTGGTGCTCCGCTTGACCGGGTTTGAAACTCTCCAACCGATCCCAGAAATCGCAATAAAATTTCTCGACCTGCGAGTGCTCCACTTAGGGTGGGCGGCAGCAGATGTCCCTTTCTCTTGGTCCCTCTTCCACGACCTTCAAGATCTTTCGCTCGCCTGCCCGCTGACCGAACTCGACGATCTCAGCCTGCTGCCCCTGTCCCGGCTCACCTCACTTGAGATCACGCACTCGCGCTACCTCACCGCCCTCCCCTCCTCCGTCTGCTCTCTCTCCTCACTCACTCTCCTCCGCCTCAACGTCTGTTCTAAGCTCGCTTCCCTCCCCACCAACATCGGCTCATTGACTTCCCTCCGCTCACTTGAGATCAAGAAATGCCTGTCTCTCTCCGCTCTCCCGGATAGCTTGGCGAGTCTGCTTTGCTTGGATTCTGTCATAATCAAGGACTGTCATTCGCTGAAGGGCCTGCCCAAGGATTTCGGGCAGCTGGGGAATCTGCGGTCCATGCAGCTGGTGAACTGCCCGGTGTTGCAGGACCTGCCCGCGTCTTTCGGGCAGCTCTCGTCGCTTCAGGCGCTGGAGATCTGGAACTGCAAGGCGCTGGTGGGTCTGCCCGACACTTTCGGGCAGCTGGAAAAGCTCAAGAAGCTTCGCATGATTGGCTGTAGCTCGGTCCTTGCCCTGCCGGAGAACTTTGGGCAGCTGAAATCTCTTGAGTTCCTGGAGCTGCTAGACCTTATGCGAGTAGACACCCTTCCCGGCACATTCGGCAATCTTTCAGCTCTGCAGTCGCTGACCCTTCGCCTGCCCGGGATCACACAGCTGCCCCCTTCCTTCGGGCAGCTTGCGTCGCTCCATTGGCTTGTGCTGCTCAGCATGCCGAACCTTTCCAACCTGCCCGAGACCTTGGGTACTCTTTCGGCACTCAAGCAGCTGGAGTGTGTCTCCTGCACGTCTCTCCGCCAGGTGCCCGAGTCTCTCGGGCAGCTAATGAATCTTTCGGAGATGGACTTTCAGTGGATTCCCGTTCCAAGCCTTCCCGCTTCGCTTGGCTCCCTCTCTCGACTTCAGTCTCTGCTGCTGACCGGGCTGACCAACCTGCGTGCTCTGCCCGCATCCATCGGGCAGCTGAAAAACGTCAAGAAGCTGAAGCTGATGAGCCTGTCGCAGCTCTCGACTCTGCCCGACTCGTTTGGCGAGCTGACCAGCCTCCGAATCCTCGTCATATCCCACGTCCCTCTCACCGCCCTCCCTGCAAACTTCACCTTCCCCTCCCTCCTCTCCCTCACCATCTCCCACACCAAACTCTCCACCCTCCCACCGTCCTTCTCCTCTCTCACATCCCTCCGCATGCTCCACATTGCACACTGCCCCACACTCCGCGCCCTCCCCTGGGATCTCGGCAACCTCTCTTCTCTCCACACCCTCCGCCTCCTCTCCCTCCCCCTCCGCTCGCTCCCTGATTCTACCGGATCCCTCGCCAAGCTTCAAGAGCTTGAGTTGCAGGACCTTCCGATCTGCTCGGTGGATTTTCTGGGCAAGATGAAGCGGGTGCGGAAGGTGACTATAAAAGGGTGTGATTCTCTGAGGGAGGCGCATGGATCCATGCCTGCTTGGATGAGATCTGCATCGATTCCGCAGCTGAGCATCGCGTTTTCAAATGCCCCGCCCCCCTCTCCGTTCTTGCCTTATCTGAACATGTACGAGTCCAGCTGCCCTGTTATGTGATACGTTTTGCTGTAAGCAAGCTGTACTTGTTATATGCTATACTCTGCAACTCATTCTGTAGAGTAGAAGAACATATTAGCTGTGGCCACATTATCACCCTCCATGTTTAGTATTGTTGACGTTTTGACAAGGTTTAGGACATACAGTACCGGTAGTAGAGCTTCACCTTCGCAAAGCCCGACAAAGCTGACAAGTGGAGTTTTTCCCGAATTTGCTCGGGAATTGTCAAATGGGAACTCCCTAGCATTCCTGAAATTTGCCGAGTTCTAGCAAAACCGAGACTGCTCTGGCCCGGTTCGGCCCGGAACGATTCAGTTTGATCCTGGATGGAGCGCATGCAACTCCAAGGTGATCCAACTTCGAGGGAAATTCCTGTGCATGGAAGCATCGTCGTCTTATCGCTCGTTCTAGAAGCCATGTACACGTCGAGTCGCTTGTACTGTAACTGTACACACTCGGGTGGATAAACTTCGTCCACAGCAGAGACTATCAGCCATTCCCGTTGGATTCACTCCAGAATCCGCGTTGCCTGGTCAGAGGCAGCTTCATTCGTGAAATCCCCGTCTCAGCTGTAGCCCTGGGCGTTTTATACCAACTCGATCCAGTCAGAGAGTATCGGCGAGCAGAATTATGGCGTCGGACGAGTCGTCTTCGCGCGTTCAGCTCTACTCTCTGGCCACTCCGAACGGCCAAAAGGTCCGTTACTGCTCCCTCGGTGCTTCCTAGGCCCTTGTTTTTTTTTTTTAGGCGAGGGTCTCAGAAACAGGCTGGCGGTCTGCTCCGTCGCTCCTTTTGTAGCCGTCGGATTTATTTCGCATGTCTCCGTGTATATTTGGATTTATCGTCTGACCGGTGGAGCTTCGCATTGGAGGAGATGGAGACATCGTACGATGCGCACAATGTCATCATGATCAACGGCGTGCGGTTCACGCTGGAGTATCAGTGTGTTTTCCCCTTTTCCTTCCCCTCTTCCCCCCTTCGCCCCCCCCTTTTTTTATCGTCTGACCGCCTGTCCAGGTGAGCATCGCATTGGAGGAGATGGAGATTCCATATGATGCGCACACCATCAACATCAGGAAAGACGAGCAGTTCACGCTAGAGTACCAGTGCATATTTGATCTTTTTTCCTCCTGTTTGTTTCCCCTCTCTTCCTCCCTATCGTCGTACCCCCTATCAGGTGAGCATTGCGCTGGAGGAGATGGAGATACCGTACGATGCGCACACGATCAACATCATGAAAGACGAGCAGTTCACGCCCGAGTTGATCGCCATCAATCCCAACAGCAAGATTCCCGCCATCGTGGATCCCATGGGAGCGCCTGGTAAGGAAGTGATCCGAGTAATTGTTTCTAGGCACCTGACATTTTTTTTTTTTTTGTCAGGGCGGAGAGGGGGGAAGAGGGAGGGGAAGGGACGTTTGAAAAGTTTCTGCATTGTGAGTCACAAGGAAGGACTTGGTATGCATTCGTTATCTGTTTTGTTTTTTTGTTTGTTTGTTTGTTTGTTTGTTTTTTTTTTTTTCTGGAATTGGTGATGCAGATGGCACCCCGTTGAAGATATTTGAGAGCGGGGCCATCCTGCTGTATCTGGCGGAGAAGTCGGGCAAGTTTCTGCCGCAGGATGCCGTGCAGAGATGGGAGACCCTCTCCTGGCTCTTCTTTCAAATGGGTGGCGTCGGTCCCATGTTTGGCCAGGTGAGACATCTGATGCCAACCCATGTTCGGCCAGGTGATAGATCTGATGCAGACATATATTTTAAAGGACAAGTTTGTACCCCACTCAACTTTGGGTTGAAAGCATTTGAAAAGCTTATCCCCTTTTCTTCCTCACTAGCTACGTCCCTCTCTTTCCTTCTCATTGTTCTCAACAGTATGGTCATTTCTTCAAGTATGCTCGGGACAAGTGAGACCACCCGTACCCCACCCAGTGTCTGCTCAGAGGCACTTGACTGACATACCCTTATCGTCTGCCTCCTTTCCTCTCGCTCGTATACCGTGACAATTCGGTCATTTCCTCAGGGATGCTCATGACAAGTGCGACCACCTGTACCCCACCCAGCTTTGGGTTGAAAGCACTAAAAGACATACCCCCCTTTCTTCCTCACTGTTCCCAACAGTTTGATCATTTCTTCGAGTACACTTGGGACAAGTGCAACCACCCGTACCCCACCCAGTTTGATTGCACACTCTCTTTGGCTGCCTCCGTGCTTTCCTTCTCATTGTTCCCAACAGTTCGGCCATTTCTTCAAGTACGCGCGCGACAAGTGCGACCACCCGTACCCCACCGAGCGCTACACCAACGAGGCGAGGAGGCTGCTGGGGGTGCTGGAGAAGCGGCTGGAGGGGAGGGAGTTCCTCATTGATGCTGGTTACACCATCGCTGACATGGCCATCTTCCCCTGGGTCATATGCCTCAAGGTGAGTGCAGGGGTTCGTTTCGGTACTGCAGGTTGTTGTTGTTTTGCTGCTGGAGAAGCGGCTGGAGGGGAGGGAGTTCCTTGTCGAGGCGGGGTACACCATCGCTGACATGGCCGCCTTCCCCTGGGTGATATGCCTCAAGGTGAGTGGGAAGCTGATTCAGGCTTCGATGGAAGGGAGGGAGTTCCTCATTGATGTGGGGTACACCATCGCTGACATGGCCATCTTCCCCTGGGTCATATGCCTCGAGGTGGGTGCAGGGGTCCGTTTTGGTAAATGCGCTGGTGTCTTGACACCCTGTGAGATTTGGAGAAGCGGCTGGAGGGGAAGGAGTTCCTCACCTAATTGATGCGGGGTACACCATTGCTGACATGGCCACCTACCCCTGGGTCATATGCCTTAAAGTGCACGTCTCACAACTTTTCACCTTCTCCTCCTCCGCCTTTTCACCTTTCCCCTCTCACAACTTTGCCTTCTCCTCCTTGGCCACTCTATTGCTTGCCCCTAACCTTTTGACACTATCATCCTTACCTGTTTAAACCTTTCGTTCCCTCCCTTCAGAAATATTATAATGGCGAGGAGCAGCTGAAACTGGAGGAGTTTCCAAAGGTGCATGCGTGGACAGAGAGGTGCCTAGCTCGGCCACGCACTGCCAAGGGAATGAATGTTTGCCCTTTCAGTTGACGAGTGATTGAATTTAGTACATATGCATGTTAGTTGGTGGGATCTGTTACAATCCCAAGTGGGACTTAGCGAAGGATCGCTCAAGGTTGATCGCAGGGTAGTGTTGCAGCGGAAGTGTTTGAAACATGTAAATGACTGAGATTGAGAATAACATGCATATATTGAGTTTATATAGGAATACAGCGAAGTTCAAACCGTGCTCGAGTGCGGCAGTGCTGATCGTAGGTTGCCTCATTTGTCGCAGCCGGGTTGGTTTGTCCTTCGGCCGTCACATTCGCTTGGCCTCCGGATCCTCCGGCCATCTTGGTCTTGGAGCGTGTGCCGCTCGCCAGATCTTGATTCGGCGAATTTCACGGAAGTGAAGTTGCGAAGAATCCCTGAGTAGCTCTCATACCATGTTACAATCCCAAGTGGGACTTAGAGAAGGACCGCTCAGGGTTGATTGCAGGGTAGTGTTGCAGCGGAAGTGTTTGAAACTCAGACCAGGGTGAATGTAAATGACTGAGATTGATAATAGCATGCATACATTGAGTTTATATAGGAAATACAAAAGGATTACGAAACGACCTAGACTAGTCATGTACTCTAAGGGGTACATTCCCTTATTACAGCGAAGTTCAAACCGTGCAGCGCGGGAACCCGTTTCAAACCTGTTCCCGCTCTTTTCACTTCGAATGTTTCTGCCTGCATCGGTCTTGATCAGACGGTTACCGTACCAGTGTCGCTTCGACTCTTCTGACTCCTCGGCTTCATACACTTTAGAGTCGGCTCCTGCAGCATACAGGAATGCCTTCTCGTAAAGTTTCATATCGTAACACTCCCCTTCATTCCTGGGCGCGCAAAGGGCTGAGTCGCTTGACCACTCCGGTGAGGTCGGAACAGTGCTTGTACTGCTGACGGGGCAGTCGCTTGGTGAGAAAGTCGGATGCCATCTCGGTGGTGGGGCAGTAAGTGAGATCAACTTTGCCCTGGTCAATTTCGTCCTTGACGCAAAAGTATCGAAGCGCAATGTGCTTCGTGCGGTTCACGAACCCCGGCTTGTTCGCAATCTTGATGGCACTCTGGTTGTCGCAGTGAAGACGAAAGGTGGGCGAAGTTGGAACTTTTGCTTCCTGCAGTAACTCCTGCAGGTACAGGCCTTCGCGAACTGCTGCTGTCGCGGCGATGTATTCTGGTTCGGCCGATGACAGGGCAACCAGCTCCTGCTTTTGCGAGTTCCAGGAGATTGGTCATGTTGGTTCCAGGCGGAAAACAAAGCCGGTTCGGGACCGTCGATTTGCAGGATTAGCGGCATGATCTGCATCCACGTAGCCGTTGAGATTGAAGGAGGTTGTCGTCAGAGTGGAGTAGGAGAGCCCGATGTCAGGTGTGGAAATGAAGTACTGCAGGGCGCGCTCCAGATCCAGCTGGTTCTCTGCTACTGGCTTGCAAGACTACTGTGCCAGTTGGCTGGCGATGTACGAAAGGTCGGGTCGGCAGGTGACTGAGGCGAACAGCAGGCACCCCAATTTCTGCTGGTACATTTGGAGTCCTGCGGGTGACAGAGGTTTGTTGTCCGGTTTGTGGTTGGCGCTGGGGTTGCGGTAAGGGGTTGAGAGTGGTGCGGGTGAAATGTTGAAGCGTTCCCCCAGCTGCTCTGCGTACTTGGAGGCTGACAGGTGAATTGCTTCTAGCGCGTAGGTGATGTTTAACCCCAGAAACTGTGTGACGTTGTGGTTGATGGTGATGTTAACGCGCTGCGCCAGGTTCTCTTCGAACTGATAAAGGAGTTTGTTGCAGGTGCCGGTGTACAGCAGGTCGTCGACGTAGACTGTCAGAAGGATGTAGTCGCCGTTAAAGTGAAGGCGGTACATTCCCGAGTCGTGCGACAGCTGCCTGAAGCCGATCTCCAGGAGGATTTTGTGCAGATGCTGCTGCCAGAGACGCGGCGCTTGCTTTATCCCATAGAGGGATTTCTTCAGCTGGCAGACCCTGGGGTCTCCTTCCCCGTAGGTGTGTGGCTTTTCCACGAAGATGGTTGCATCCACCAACGCATATAAGAACGCGTTCTTCACGTCGATCTGCCGCAGTGGTAGGTGCTTAACGGCGGCAATGGCGGGTAGAATTATGACGGAGGTGTGACGGCTGACGGGAGCAAAGGTTTGATCAAAGTCGATGCCGTGGCGCTGGTCGTACCTGCGTACGACCCAGTGTGCCTTGAAGCGCTCGATAGTGCCGTTAGCGTTGGTTTTGAGACGGAATACCCATTTTCCGCTTAGCACCCTCCTCCCCTTCACTGCTGCACGATCGACCAGGACCCATGTGTCGCTTGATTCCAGTGCCTTCAGCTCCGCGTCCATAGCAGTACGCCACTCCTTGGCGTGGGGACCGGTCAGAGCCTGGCGAGGGTTCTTGGGTTCGACGGCGCGCGTGAGGGTAGTGACAGACGTGTGTAGGCCGAGAAGCTGCAGGCCGGATACATTGGTGGTGTCGCCGGTGGTGACCTCCACCACATCGTCATCGTCACTCTCGTGGACAGTTGCGGTAGTGCTGGGCTCGGGTTGGTGACGCGATGGTCCTGGCGCGGGTGTGTCGTCATCATCATCGTCGTCGTCGTCGTCGTCGTCGCGCGGGCGAGGCGGAACGCCGGGATGTTCGTCGGGGGGATCGCGGTCGAGTGCTGCCGCTGCTGCCTCGTCTTCTGGGGATGCGAAGCTGCGGCCGCTGTTGACGTAGCCGCGTGCTTCGTTGCGACGTTCGTCGTCAATCCACTGCTGCAAGGTGAGTCGGTCATAGAAGAGAACATCACGATCGGGGACAATATGCTTGCTGTCAATGTCAAGAATGAGCCAACCCTTGTACTCGTTACTGAGTCCTAGATGGACTCCCCAGCGCGCACGGTGAGTGAACTTGCCGATTGTCGCGGTCGTCGGCCGGTACTGCACCATACACCCCCAAACCCCCAGCATGGAGGGATCTCCATTTGAGCCGGTCCACTTCATGTGCGGGGAGAGGTTGTTCCGGTTAGCCGTGGTGGAGAGAAGGTTGTGCCGTCGCACCGCGTGGTTCATGGCGTACGGCCTGTCAAACATATATGACATAGTCTGTTTAGGCTGTAGTGGGGTAGTCAATATAGGGTACAACATTTCTAGGTTTCCTACTTGTACCCAACTGCTTGCTAGTTCAATCATTTCTTCGTTCTCATTCTGACATGGTATTCTGAGCAGGTTCCCTCGTGGGAACGTTTTTTTTAAGGGCCCACCACTGAAACTTTCCTACCTGCCCGAAGCGCGCTGTCGCGCCTGCCTCTCCTGTGCCGTCGCGCGCCCTGCCCTACTGTCGCGCTAGTCGCGACCCTGCCTGAGCCGCCCGTCGCGGCCCTGCCTTGTCGCCGCCCGTAGCGACCTAATCCGCCGCCCGTCGCGGCCCTGCTTTGCCGCCCGTCGCGGCCCTCTCCTGCCGCCCTACGTCGCGGCCCTGCCCTGCCGCCCCAAGTCGCGGCCCCTGACCTGCAGCCGCTGTCGCGGCCCTCCCGTCTCCGCCGACGCGCCTGCTGCCACCGTTGCGGCCCCGCTGTCGCGCCCTGCCCTGTAGCCGCCGTCGCGCCTACAGCACCTGTCGCGGCCCTGCCTTGCCGCTGACGCACCTGCAGCCGCCGTCGCGGCCTCACCGTCGCGGCCTCACCGTCGCGGCCCTGCCCTGCAGCCGCCCCAGTCGCGGCCCTGCTCTACCGCCGCCCAGTCGCGGCCCTGCCCTGCTGCCGCCCCAGTCGCGGCCCTGACCTAATCGCCAGCTGCGGCCCTGCCCTGCACCCGCCCCTGGTAAGCACCCGCGCCGCCCAGCCGAGCCGCGCCGCTCAGCCAAGCCGCGCCGCCCTGCCGAGCCGCGCCGCCCAGCCGAGCCGCGCCGCCCAGTCTAGCTGCGCCGCCCTACTGAGCCACACTACCCTGCCTCTATTGCTTCTGCTGCTTCTGCTGCTACTGCTGCTACTGCTGCTTCTGCCGCTATGGCTAGTCCTATTGTTCTTACCTTTGATGCTGAGGGTCGTGCTGTTGACTTCGAGGTTTGGGTAGACGACCTACAGCTCTTTCTCCAGTGCGACTCCAAGGACGGTGTTTCCCTGTTCGATCACACGTCCGGTGTCTCTCCTGCACCTGCTGCCACTACTGACAGTACGGTTCGCTCGCAGTGGACTACTCGTGACGCTGTTGCTCGTATTGCTGTTCGTAGTCACCTGCCGTCTGCTGAGCGCGTGCACTTTGGCCAGTACAAGACTGCAAAGTCTCTGTATGACGCTGTTGTCGCGCGCTACTCCTCCCCTGCCACTGCTGCTCTCAGCCGCCTCATGCTGCCGTACCTATTCCCTGACCCTGCTGCCTTTGCCACAGTCGCTGACCTCATTACTCACCTCCGCACTAGTGACACCCGCTACCGCGCTGCGCTTCCCACTGAATTCTGTGCCAAGAACCCCCCCCCCATGTACATCACTCTCTACTACCTAGTCACCCGTCTCCCTCTCTTCAGTCAGGGACCACTTTCTCTCCCTTTGCCCCACTGAGCTCACCGTTGACCTGCTTGAGGAGCGCCTTACTGCAGCTGAGAAGAGTATTGTTGCTGTAGGTGCTTCTCGCGGCGACCCTCGCGCCCCTTTCTTTGAGGGGTGCTCCCCCGTCCCCCTTCTCCCCTCTGTTGCTTCTGCTGCTGCTGTCGACCTCGTTGGCACTGAGGAGGTCGGGGCTGCGTCTGCTCCTAGTGGGAGGCGCCGCAACAGCAAGGGCAAGGGGGGCAGGGGTGGTGGAGGGGACGGAGGGGGCGGCGGTGGAGGCGGTGGAGGGGGCGGAGCGGGTGACGGTGGCGGTGGGGGTGGTGGCGGGAGTGGGGGCGGTAGTGGAGGTGGCGGAGGCAGCGGCAGCGGCGGTGGAGGTGGAGGCGGTGGTGGTGCTGGCCGAGGTGGTACCGCACAGCGTGGAGGCTTTGGCGGTAGCCAGCGCCAGCAGCAGCCGCGTTCTCGTGAGACCCTT